CTAAAGAATCCAGAGATCCATGCTGGATTAGCCTCTTCTGAGGACAGTCACACCTCCCCAATAATGACTAACACTTATATTTGAATAATATCTGGCCCTCCTTAAACTAATGATGAAAGTGCACACCAGTCCCAACATATCAGCAATTCTCCCATCCTTGGAGGAATCAGCTCACCAGTGTCCTCTGTCAGGCTCCAACATTTACTAGATATGAGTTAATCCAATCACCTCTTCCCAAACTGCTGAGGATTCATAGCAAGCGCTCTAAACTATGTTCTACATGAGAAGCAAGCTCCCTTCCACCCTCCCACTTTGGCAGCTGTGTAATAACTGCCCCCCTCCCCCCATCCCCACCACGTTATATAACTTCATAACAGAACAGCTACCCCATTATATTACCATGTTGATGAAAGAGGAAACAACAGAGTACTTACATATAACTGAACTCAGTTTTTGCTGTGATGAAGGCAAGAAAAGTTTGTGTAAAAATAAAAAATTTCAAAATTTGTCAGTTATCCAAATTTTCATGTCCACCATTGGTTATTATTTTTTTCAATCCAAAGATGAAGTTTATAGTCCAACATATTTTATTAAATATTACATACTTACATTAAGAAATATGCTCCTAACTAATTGAAATGAAAATAACTACTTTTAAGTAGATATGAAAATACAAAGAATAGCTCAAATAAAACATGAATCATCTACTAAAAGTATTCATCTTAACAAATCTAAATTACATGTCAAACTGGTATTTTGATAGCTTTGAATGGAAACTGGGTATTTAAATGAAGTATAATAAACGTTCACTCATAAAACCATGCTGGCTAGTGTGCCTTAAGTAAGGATTGGGAACCTAAGTGTTGTTTGTGTAACCTTCCACAAAAAACTCAATAAAATATTTTAAAAAACTTAAGTCAAGAGAAACTAATTTTCAGTCAAGTGGAGGTTGACAAACCCTTTCACTTTTTAAAAAAAGCGACAATAAGGCTGAACAAAAAATTATAACAACCATTTCATCACTCTGGAAATCAACGGAAGGTAGAACAAGTTAAAGCATGTTGATTCAAGAAAACCACTGAAGTTTATGGTTTACACATTTAGTATGTGCAATTCTTGCCTGAGGCTGCTCTTAGCCCACCCTAGCTTTAGCAGAGCAGTGGTTCAATCAGGGCAAGAATACACCATGAAAAACAAGCAGCACAGATGCCATTTCCAGAAGACTCGCTTGATTCAATGCATTGTAAGTTAAAGTGGTGACCTCAGTGATAAGCTTCAAGGTTGCAATCCAGGGAGGTGAGAGAACCACAAGGGACTTGCAAGCATTCCACATATTTTGGGTTCACCAGAGGCTGGGTGCACGCAGAGCAGAAACTGGAGATGGTCCAAAGCATACAAACATCCCTGATTAACAAAGTTTGAACATAAGCACAAGAGCACCAAAAGGCCCATTAGAAAAAAATGGCCAGGCAAACCTGAAAACAACCTAAACTTTGTGCTAGCCAACCCACAGATCTATAAGGAAATCCACCAGTTGAGGTCATACTGGCTGGAAATGTTTGGGATAAACCTCTGACCAATCTTTGGCTCAACATTAAGTTATTCATTTATAATGGTGATCCCAAGAAGTCAGATATAAAAACAAAAACAAAGCAAAGATAGCAGTGGTTACATAATACACTGGAGACAGAAATCACAAATTTAGTTCAGGCAAGGTAGGTGCTAAACAAACAAAAGCAATTAACAAGCTTTTAGTGGAAAATTCCAATTTGTACTTAACACATTATATTCTCTAAAATAAATATAATAATCACCAGGCATGCAAAGATAAAAGAAATTGTGACCCTTCCTTGGTAGGTAAAGATGCAATCGAAACAATCTCTTAAGTGTCCCCAGATGTTGGGGGCAGTACAATACTTCAGAGCAATTATTACAGACATGTTCAACCAGCTATTTTAAATCATATTGAAAGAATTTTAAAAAACTATAATGATAAGTCTCAATTAATAATCTCAATAAGACACAATTATAAAACTTACATAAGAAACAATGTATTATATGAGAAATTTTTTTTTAAAAAAGAAGCAAATGGAAATCAAAACTAAAAAAATATAGTATCTGAAATAAAAAACTAAAGATTTGAGATGTTGAAGAATCAAGGAACTTGATGAAAAATCAACAAAAATATTCAATCTAAACAAACTGAGGGAAAAAAGATTTGAAAAAAAATGAACAAATTAAATATATACTCACTCCAATTTAATAAATAATTAAAAAAAAAAAAAAAAAGAATCAGAGACAAGGAAAATATCAAGTGCTCCATCATATATAACAGGGCTTCTAAAAGAAAAAGTGAATAGCAAAGTGAAAATTGAAGTAATAATGCCTCAAATTTCACAAATTTGATGAAAAACATTATATAGGAAAAACACAGAGCAAACCACACTAAAACACTTAATAGTCAAACTGCTAAGACAAGACCAAGGTGGTGGTGGTGGTGGTGGTGGTGGTGGTGGGGGCAAGGTTAGTGGGGAGGGAGGATGACCTTAAAAGAAGCATGAGAAAAACAACATACAGAGTCCTGGTGTGGTGCTGTAGGATAAGCACTAAACTGCAATGTCAGTTTGAATTGCAAGGTCAGTGATTCAAACCCACAGGCCGATCCTTGGGAACCTTACACAGGGTAGTTATGAATTGGAAAAGAATCAACATCAACAGCACTTAACAACAACATATTTGTAGGAAATATAATTAACAGCTCACTTCTCACTAAAAACAGTGGAAGCCACAAGACAGTGCAGTAACATATCCAAAGTGATGAATAACCCAAACAACTTATCAACCAGGAATTCTTTATCCAGAAAAACTGTCTTTCAAAAAAAAAAAAAGGTAAAAATAAAAGCATTCCTAGATAATCAAAGACCGAGAGAGATGTATATGGTATTCATTATACTGCTATATGCCAATAGTCCGAGAATGATGCAGAACCAGGCAACATTTTGTTCTGTTGTACATTGTCACTATGAGTCAAAGTCAACTAGACAGCACCTATCTATCTATCCTTGAGTTTATAGTATGGATGGGTATGATACATATGGTAATGTATATGATAGTAGCACAAAGAAGAAAATAGGAAAGGAAAAGAATAAAATCTCTTATTTTACCAGAATTAAGTCTGAATTCTTTTGAAGCAGAGGGTAAGAAGATGCATACTATTATCCCTTGAGCAACCACTAGACCATAATTTTCTAAAAAGTAGAAAAATAACAGAGGAATTAAAATGTATAAAATAGATTATTTTGCAGTCAACAAAGGCAGAACAAAAAAATAATTAAAAAAAAAAAAAAGACATGAGACAAACAGAAAATAGCAAAATGGCAGATATAAGTTAAATCACCCCAATAATATTATATAAGAATGAACCAAACACCCATTTGGATGACAGATATTATCAGATTGGATTAAAAAGCAAGACACACCAGATCAAGAGACTGGTATGTAGAACAGACCATGGCTTACAACTCATCCCAGTACGCTGCTAGTGAAAATGAAAAGTGGTATGGATACTTTGAAACACTTCACTGGTTTCTTTTAACGTTAAACATAAATTTACCATATAACCCAGCAATTTCATTTGAAGAAATCTATCTAATAGAAATGAAGACAATTATCTATACAAAGACTAGTTATTACACCAAGGTTTATAGCATTATTCTTAATAGCCTAAATCTGAAAATAATTCAAATATCCATCAACTAGTGAATAGATAAACATATGCTGCTATATACAAATAATGGAATACTTATTTGCCATAAAAGATAAGAAAAATAATGATAAACATTCTATCTAAATGTCTAAACCATTATGCTAATTGAAAAGAAACCAGATGTAAAAGACATCATATTGTCGATTCTATTTATGTGAAATGTCATGAAAAGGCAAATTTATAGAAATGGAAAGCAGATCCATGTTGCCTGGGGCTTATGGTGGAAACAGGGATTGACTGCAAACCAACCTTAAAGAACTTTTTAGTGTGACAGCAATGTTCTAAAACTGGGCTGGTTGCACATAAACCTTTGAAGTGTACAGTAACAAATGAATTTTATAGTATGTAAACTCCACTTACATGTTAAAAAAAAATCAATTATATACGATTACCAAAGTTAAATACATGTATGTGTAACACACAGAGAGAGAAAGAATGATAAGAAGAAATGGACAAATGCAAACATTTAGTGAATCTGGATCAAGGGTATATAGGGATTCCTTGTGCTATTCTTCTTAACAGTTAGGCAAATTTGAAATTACAAGAAAAGAAGGATCAAGAATATAATGCAATAAGCTTCTTCTAACTATATCTAACTTCTCCAATGAAGACCATATACAGCTTAGTAGAAATCTGTAGGCAGTTTTAATAAAATCACTTCAAGAATATAATGTGGCTGTAAAATCAATACAATGTGCTCTAAAATAATATTTCTATTGAGTTAAATAAAAATTCACTTGCAAATCCTGTAAAAGCATCATATTCACAATACTTGACCTCAAAATCAGGACTTTCCCTTTCAAACACAGGGTAATCCAAAAGTTCACTTTGACTGATGTGAGTTTTTAGCTTAATTTTGTTTTTGATACCAAGTATAATTACATAGTTATACAGAAGTTGAGGTTTGTTACTTATTTAATAAAAAACTGTTCTAAAATATTTCATTAGTCATAATGATAGTAATATTTTTTTAAAGTATATGGAAAGGCATGATGCATTTTAATGACTATAATCATTTAGATTTTGATTTGTATCTGTATGTCTACAATCCTGTTTTTAAAAAGACCATTTTATATATGGTCCACCTGGGGCATAATTAAGGGCATTTTAATGAAGTTTCAATGCTTGTAGGCAGAAATATGGTTTACCAACAGCTAAACAGCATCATTTATTTATCAAAGACAAATGATACTCTTGAGAGAGAAAAACAATCAACAATTTTACCTTCCAAGGAGCTAAAGGCACAGTGTTTAGTCATATCTAGCTGAATACTCAACCATACAAACATCACTTATTTTCAATTTAGTAACTGATTGACATCTCTCAAACGAGCTATTTTCAAAATCCTGATCTTTATTTTCTTTAACACATTTGCTATGAGTTGCTAATTTGCACTAGGTCTCATCATAAGAATAACCAAAATTAGATAAATGTGACAAAAAACTGACAAAGTGTTTCACACCTTTGAATTATACCAAGTCAGGAAGGGGGGACAGTGTTGCATAAGGAGACTACTGCAATGCTACTTATACTCTTGAAATGAAACCAGCTATGCATCCATAGCAAGACTGCAATCATCTCACTTCCAATTTCTTCCCCTCAAGAACAATTTGAATCTCTTTGGCATCCAAAGTCTCATAGGTCAGTAAAGCTTCTGCTAGATTCTTATGCTCCTTTGCATGAGTCTTCAAGATATGTTTTGCTCGTTCATATGAGTCCTAAAACAAAAATGTATAACGAATATCATCATATGAATGAGATGAAAAGTGAGACGAAATAAAAACCAAAATTAGTAAAACACTTCAACAGCCTTTCAAAAGGTGAGTTAATCTATCAGCTCATGAGTACAGCTCATTTCTGACAATGCTGTAACCTTTGTTTATTCAATGTTAATACCATTATTTCAACATTTAATTGCATTTTTACCTTTATAAAACTGGTTAGAATATACAAAAATGAATTTACCAACACCAAGAAGCATACATCAAATAAACATAATACAATTATTAAACACAGACATCAGATAATCTGAGCATGATCTCTGTAAGACAATAAAAGAAAAATATAAAATATATCATGGAATATTAGTATTATAGCTAAAACTCAAGGTGAAATTAGGAATTGAAAACCTTTAAGTCTCTTGGAATGAAAACTGAGTTTTATAACATAGTTGGTTTTATAGACTACTATTAAGTCGTCATTCTTTTGAATTTCATGTACACTTGAACCCAAGATACTATAGTAACTGATAAGCATTTCCCCTTTATACTAACAATGGATAAAAAAGAGTATTTTATACCTAATGGATGAAAGAGTATTTCCAATCTATCCTTGTGAAGAGACAAAGGATCCAGTTTTAATCATTATTTCTGAGTTTTCAGAAATGTACTACAGCAAAGAAAGATTTTTTTCCTATACACTCAGTAACATAATTAATAAGGGAAAGAGAAGGAAGATTCTGGGAAGGCCATCCAAAACCGCTTCTAAATGTTTTTGTTAAACTTTCTATATCCTAATCTACTCTAGGGAGCCCTAGATTGGACTGGAAGGTCAGTTTGGAATCGCAAGTATGGCAATTCAAACTTACCAGTTGCTCCTCAGAAATCCTATACAAGGACACTATGAGTTAGAACCAACTCAACAGCATTTAACAACAATAACAAATGACTCCAAGCATTCACTCCTTCTCCCTTCTTGAGCTAATAAAAATCTGGTTCTCTACTATGGATACTCCTTTCCCTAAACCCTCTCACAACCAAACAAAAAATCCACTGCCATTGAGCTGACTTTGACTCATGAAGACCCCCGTGCTACAGAGTAAACAGCTCCCTAAAGTTCTTTTGGTTCTAACCTTTATGAAAAGGAGTACACAACAGTTAAACACTGAGGTGCTATCTGAAGGGTAGGCAGTTTGAATCCAAGAAGTGAACTAACCCTGTAACGATTACACATAAGAAAACCCTATGTAGACAGCGGTAAATAGTGATGCATGCTCAAGCTTGGAATAACAGGGCTCTGGGATACAGGGATCGAGGCATAGTCTGAAGCGAGGAAATAATGCTAACATGCTTGACTGTCATGAATATTGGTTTCTATTGCCTACTACTGTAAAATAGACAATTGAGCAGTATAGAAAGGAATGTCGGGAAACATGATTATAGAAAGCTTGTAAACCTGTCTTGTCTTCAGTCTATAACTGATTGGAATACCTAACAAGGGGTTCTAGAACTTGCCCAGTGAAACAGGCCTCTCCCGGAGTCTTTGCAGTATATAGGACTTTAGGTGGAATTCTGAACCCCATACAGAACCTTCTGAGGTGGGACATTCCCACTAGAAAGGACAAGCAAACCAGCCTGGAACAGCTAGAGTGACAGAAGATACATCTTCAAAGAAGAATCAGCAGGAAAAAACCAAAACTAAAATGGCAGTATGACTGGTTACTACAAGAACAAACAAGTTGTTGATCATGAAGCCATTAAGACAAGCAACCGGGTCCCTTCAGGACAAACCCCGCTCCAAGACAAACTCAAAGGGAACACAGAAACAGGCATGTAAGTGTGCTGGAGAACACACTGGTCTACTGGTGAGTGGAAGAAGGGGAAAGGCAGCAATGAAAAAAATGGGCTAACTTCAACCATGGTCCATAGACTCCCTTTGACCTGGAGAAAGACAGAGAGAAGAGGACGAGCTGGTTGGTCCAAAGTGTGGTGAGACCTGGGGACTCCTGAGCCCATGGATAAAGACACAGCCACAGAGGGCTAGAGCTGAGAGTGAAGCATCCAGCTGATATGAAGTGAGGGGAAATGCACAAGAAGGCCCAAACTTGCACATAGTACCCATTTGACCTAGCCTCGATTGCTTGATAATTGTTAATCAGAACTCGACTAGAGGAAGATAAAAAAAAAAAAAAAATTTTTTTTGATAAAGGAAACAAGTGTAAATTGTTGCAGTTTAATGAACGTGACCTATATTTATGGATGTAGTAGCTCAAAATACCAACTGAGCGGGAAGGAGTCTTCACATCAAGTATCAATGCTATCCCCTCTGTATACAGGGTATACAGGGAGGGCAACTTAGACATTAACTACGTAAAATGAGGAGGTGCTCAAGGCACAAAGTGACTGGCTTACAAGTTTTCAAGAGGGAGTTTAGTTTAAGAGTGTGCGAGGGAAGATGGAATCCCCACTGAATAGTTTTAATCTTGTCTAGATGGGGCTGGTGAAGAGATGGGGATAAGATTCTTATGATTCAACAGTAATTGTTATCATGACGAACTGCGACTGTCACAGTTGTAAATGGCGAAGTTTTGTAACAAAAAGGGGGGAGTAGTTAAACTTGCAGTCCAGAAACAGAGGATCCTAGGACCATCAAGGGAGAGGAGCACAAGCAGAATTCGGGACCTTATCCAGAGAAGCAGCGATACCAGAGATGGAGGCAAAGATGGGGACAGGGACAGAGGAAGCAGCTGAGGATTCTGGACTCAGAAAAAGAGGAATTGAGTGCTGGCAGCTAGGAGGCAGGCTTGCAGAATGTGTTATATTATTATATATTCCTGAGTGTTTTTGTGTACATCCCCCCACCTCACCCACCAAAAAACCCCAGAGGGAATGGAAGCAAATTTTGTTGAATGATGATTTAAAAAAACAGCCTTTGCATAGTGAATAAAACACAGGTAAACATTAAAAAGGAAGAAAGAAAGAAAGAAAGAAAACTTCTATGGCAGTTCTACTCTGTTAAATGGGGTTATTATGAGTCAAAATCAACTGCTAGCAATTAATAATCTTATAGAAAACCATCAATCCTGTCCTCCATGGTACTCCTACGTAGACTTGAATGACCAACTTTTCAGTTAGTAGTCAAAAGCAAACCATTTGCATTTGCAAATTATGCCTCCCCTCTTATCTTCGATACTTCAGGGCAGTTTTTTAACAAAGAAGTGAGGTCTGTTCCTAACACCGCAATACTACCCTCTTGTATAAAGTACTATTCTTGTGAGGTCCATACCATTTGACTATATCCTTATTCATCTCTCTTTATTGTACCATCTAGCAAATACCCGCTTACATTCCTGAGTCACCAAAGGTATTTGGCACTCAACACAGTTTTCCTTTTTATCTGAAGTTCAATGACTTCAAGGATAGATAACTTCAGCATTCACACAGAATGCATCCAGTCTCTCCAATAAACTCCAGACCTATCTCCCAACTTGAAATCTTTACTCAAAGCCTAGCCTAGGCCTAGTAAATCATCTCAGTGAAGCTAGTCTTATACATTCCTCTAATCTATATTTTGGACACTGCAAATCAAAAGGGCCTTTATTTATTCTGTATTCTTAGCTCATACACATTGTTGGGGAAAAAGTAAATAATATTTGCTAAATAATTAAATGACAGGATGGGAAAACAAGAAACACAAAGACTCAATAAACAATATTCCCCATTCTAATACATCTTAGGGAGTTGAAGCTAAGGTACAATTGAATTCTATTAGCCATAGAGATAAACTGTTCTTAGCCATAGACAGCATAAACATCCAATGCATAATCAAAGGTTCCCTAAAAATGTATTTAAATCATGTTTGAAGTGCTGTACCCTCTTATTTTTACTACATAGGGGCATTTTTAATGAACAGAGGGCCTTCATTTATTACCAGTTTATAAACACAATATTTAGTCACATTGTATATAAATGAAGAAATAAGGTATAAAAAATATAATTACCCTTAGAAGGATTCTTATTTCTTGTTCAATAGCAGATTGAGTTTCTGGACTCAGTTTCCCTGTATCATTGTAGGTCATAACTCCAAGCTAAAGACAAAAGAAACGAACTACTCAATACATAACACCAAAAAACACTAATAAAGGTAACAGAAAAAGTACTACACTACATCTAAGGAAACAAATATCATGAGGTTAAAACAAAAACAAACAATACAAAAGTGAATGTCTTAAGGGCAAAGAAAAATTTCATCATCCTTCTGAAAATATAAAAAATAGTAAAAGTGTGAGCAAGATTGAAAAAAATCTCTAAAGAGGCAGGTTCTGAGTAGTTTGTTAGAATGCCTCGAAATGTCTTCTAAGTTCAGAAAACCCCAATTCAGAGTGTAGACGTGCTGCATGGAGTTACAGTGACAACATTGGAACGAGAAAAATACGGAAAGGGGAAAGTAGAGCTTAGCAAGCAGGCTCTTTTATGCCATATGGTGAGAAAATTATCATCGGTTTCTTAGTTCATGAGATAATAACTATTAATTTCGGAGCAGGATAAAAGTGCTACATATTTGTTTCTCAGAAAAATAAAATTAGAACACAGAATGAACTTCCTCAAGTCCGTCTGAACTGAAAACAAAACAAAACAAAACAAAAATGAAAGAAACCTCTCTGACAAAAAGGCAATTGGCACATCATCTGAGCATAAACATCTGATACTTAGAAAATAAAATTAGTTATTACCTTTTCACTCATTCCAAATTTGGTAACCATCCGTTTTGCTATTTTAGTTGCATTATCAAAATCACTGGAAGCTCCTAAAATAAAAACATATGCATATAATTTCATTTAAAAAAAATGTATTTAAACCAACAAACTAAAATTTAAATTAAAATTTATATTTTTACTTAATATAGTTTATGTGGAAACTAAACTATATATTCTTTGTAGTTTACCTGTTGTAATATGGTCAGTTCCAAATATAAGCTCCTCTGCCACTCTTCCTCCCATACTAACATCCATTTGTGCAAGTAGCTGGGATCTTGTTTCATTCCACCTGTCATTTTCAGGCAACAGGGACACCTAGATAATTCAAAAACAATGAAATAACCAAAGGACACAGTTCAGAAACAGGTTAAAAAACAATGATTGGTTAGCTCCTACTACAGTACTCAATACCATGATGCCCAAATCCAAAGACATTTAATACAGATGGTCATTAGGTAACTGATGATAAAACCTGCAATTGATAAAGTAAGAAAAACTCTTCATAAAGCAAAAGTGCATTTTACAAAGAATAGGTAGAAAATACTGCAATAGAATGTTTTATTCCTAGCTGTCCAAATCTGTTAAGCATGTCTTTAACTGGAAAGATATACAATGAGAAGGTAACATGTACTAAATATAAAAGACAAGTCACTATGACAGGTAAGTTTTTCTCTTAGGGCAGAAGAGCAATTAGATACTTAAGGAATACATTTTCTGTCATTCTTTAATTAAATTTCACAATATAAATATATGATGATAAAAGAATCATACTAAGAAAACATTCATAGGCATGTCTGATTTCAGGAAATAAAGGCTGTATAAAAAACTAGAAGTATACACATTTTTTTAAATACATGTTTTAAACAGTAATTTCCCACATAAACTACATTAGCTAAAAACGTGCTGAATTTCCTACATTTGCTCTTTTTGAAAGCAAATAAAAAGCTATGAAATACTTACATGCCCAAGTGTTGGTCCTCGAGGCATGATTGTAGCTTTATTGATAGGCATTGCATCTTTAGTGTAATATGCAATAATAGCATGGCCAGATTCATGATATGCAGTAATGGTTTTGTTTTTGTTATCAATTTCTACACTTCTACGTTCAGGGCCTAAAGTTAAACATTTAAGAAACATTAAAAAGGATTTAAATGAATGAAATACATTATCCTTAAAATAAATCTTATAGTAACAGGACCTAATCTTACTAATAACTATCTTGACCACAGTAATAGTTACTTTAAAAAATGAGAATTCACTCTACAACATAAGAAAATCCTAATATTTTTGTTAATTGAAAACCAAAATTGTTTAAAACTGTCATCTTAATCCTTCTTTTGGAGTCCTGGTGTGGTGCTGTCAATAAGCACTGGACTGCTAATTAATGCTGGGGTTTCAAACCACCAGCCACTCCTCGGATACAGAGCTGCTATGAGTCAGAACCGTCTCAACAGCACTTAACAACAACAATAAAACCTTATTTTAAAAGAGAAAGCTTCATTCTAAACAATAAACTTCCAATTTAATGTGAATGTCAGAATGAAGCTGTTTCAAAGTCAATCCAAAATTAACTACTGAGAAGAAATAAAATTCACCATCCTTATAACAATATAGGACAAGAGGAATTTTCCATGATCGTTACTAGTATCATAAAATCTATCTGAATATAATTGCTCTGTAAGTGGCCAGACTGGTATCTTCACACACATATTTACATGTTCTATTTAACTTTGTTACTGTTTTCTCTCTTCAGTTAAAAGAAAGACTTCCTAAGAAAAAAAAAACCTAACAAACATACTATAGTATAAAACTATGTTCTACATACTGATAAAATAGGTATTGTAAATAAAATAAATGTTACTGCTTATTGGGTACCTCTCTCGATGGCACTGGACTCTCAAATTGGGCAATAGTGAAAATACTCATTACAAACCAGATACTGAAGTTTTAGAGTAAGATTATATTTCAAAACAGTCAAAAACACTTTAAAAGAATAATTGATTCTTTAACATATCGAAAATGATACAGTAGACATAATAAGACAAAAATTGTACCCATTAGAATTTTATCTTTGGAAAATTCTAGTTCCTTCATGGTAACCATTTCTTTTCCATCAACAGCTGCTTTTAAAGCAGCTTGGTTCACAAGATTCTCCAATTCTGCTCCAGAAAAACCAACAGTGCCTCGAGCTATGATTTCTGGATCAACAGCTATGTAAAAAGAAAACACACTGTGTAAAACAGAATCCTAGAGTGGTAATTTTTTTGAATAATAAAGACAGTGAAATAATTAATATTTGATTCTAAAGAATACTAATAGAAAAGTCTTCACTATGTAAAGAACTCACAATTTCAAGGGAAAGCCAATTAAATAGCTATGTAAAACAAAGAAAAGTAGAAGTGCCCACATATAAATTACAAATATTTAAATTTGGTTTTATTGTTATTAACCTAACCACAAACTGAAAAAACAAACTCCTAGACAGTATTTGCTTTATGAATTTCATCTTAAGTTCTCCTCAAGATCAGCACTGGATTTTTGTAAATGCTTTTCAACATATTGGTCTCTCTGGTAGTATTTCTTTTGCTGCCACCAAATGGTTGAGATGTTTAAACAAAGAGTTTAAATTTTTAACCTTGGGGGGGGGGGGGACAGATTAGCATTAGAGTCCTGTAGTATCAGCACTACTGGACTGCTACTGCAAGGTCAGTGGTTCAACCCTACCAGTTGCTCTTTGGAAATTCTATACAGTGTCACTATGAGTGGGAACTGACTCTACAGGTCTTAACAACAACAAGATTAGCATTACAGAAAATGTATTTCGCTTTCTGAAATTCAGCTAACTTTTAAAATAATACAGCTGTAGCTTTATTAATGAAGTGGGTCCACAAAATTAGAAAATTTCCTTCTATTTAGTTTTATAGTTTGCTTTTCCACTCTTCGGCTCCAAATTGGATGTATTAATAAGAGCTACTATTTCTAAACAATTTAAATGTATTTTTATCTTGAAATATATTACCTATCTAAGTAAAGAAAATTTTATTTAAAATAAAGGTTTGAAATCACAGAATTTCCTGGGTACAAATGAGTTAAGGAATAAACCTTGTCCAAAAGGGATATATACATAAATTGATATTTTAAAACATTTATTAAGGACTAACAACAGGGTGGATGAATATTTTATAAAGTAATGTTTGTACTGCAAAAATGGACTTACACTGATCAAACTTTATTTTATTGAGATACCATTTCAAAATTTCTGTTCGACCTTTCACATCTGGCCTTGGAACTGTAACTTGCATGTCAAAACGACCAGGACGTATTAAGGCACTAAAGGAAGAACACACACACACACACACGTATATTAATATGCCATTTATGCTAAAGTTCAAGTTAAATAGCACTGACTCAGTAAAGTGTGTGTTGCTCTGATGTAGAACAGGTTTCTGCAGAGCTTCCAGACTAGGCAAACTAGAAAAAAAGGCCTGGTGTGATCTACAGCTATGGATCACAATGGTCCAATCCTCAATAGCAGCTAACAACGTTGATAAGAATGAGTTTTGAAAATAAACGCTCAGTTTCTTTTAAAACATACCTCAAGTAACAGACACAATAATCTGAAGGCAAAACAAGGGTTTATAAGGGTTCATATAGATCTACGCATCTATGCAATACACACCCTCAGAAACAAAAGGATGCAAGGAGATCCACCAAGGAACACAGTTCATAGTGGCCTATTCTGAGAATTACAAGGAGCACTTGACAAAATGGTTAAAGCACGTGGCTGCTGGGTCTGTAGTTTGAAAACACCAGCTGCTCTGCAGGATAAAAGATGTGGCTATCTGCTTCAGTATAGACTACAGCCATGGAAGCCCTGTCCCAGGAGTCAGAACTGACTTGACAGCAATGTGTTTGGTTTCTTTCTTTCTTTTATTGAGTTCGACATGCCCATCTCAACTGCTAAGTCCAAAATATTAGACTAAAATCTTAGCTAAAGATAATTATTAGATCAAACAAATATATGAACAGCACATTATTATACAATAAAAATATAATTCAAATACAAATTTTAATTTAATGCTAACTTTAACACCACAGTGTATTTTATTTAAAAAACTGCTCACCACTGGAAAAAAGTGTTTTGAAATACGTTAAGAAATTTTCTACCATTAGATTCAGCGATAACCCATTTACAGTACATAACTCAGAGTTTTCCCATGTTCACTGTTGTACAAGCATCATCACAACCAAATTTTAGAGGATATTCACCACCCAAAAAAGTCCATTAGCAGTCACTTCCTATTCTCCCCCGCATTTGGCAACCACTGAAGTACACCTTCAGACTTTATAAACAACATTAAAATCATACAACATGTGATCTTTTATAACTGGTTCTTATTCTCTTACAACAGTATTTTCAAGATTCATCCACACATATATCAGAACTTCACAAACGTCTTTTTAATACTTACTTATCTAATGCTTCTGGAAAGTTTGTGGCTCCTATGATAATAACACCTTCATTGGGTTTAAAACTATTAAGGAACAAAGATGAACTGTTTTTAATGGTTAAATAAAGCATAGTACACATATACAAACACTATAAAAAATTGTTTGTCATTAATCTTTGTAACAGTCAAGTACAGGAATTGAGTTTTTAATGTCCAAACAAATAAGGCATCCTGGGTGTGGTGATGTAGATAAACACTGCTAACCACAAGGTCAGTGGTTCAAACCAATGAGTCATTCCTTGGAAACTCTATACAGGGTCACTATAGTCACAACTGACTTGATGGAACTAACAACAGTTGTTCTTAAAAAGAAACAAATGCCAGGGCAGTTCAATAAAAATGGCAATTATCCATCACCAAAAGGAGCTCTGATAGCGTAGTGGTTATGAATCGGGCTGCATTATGAAACAAGGTCAGCAGTTCGAAACTACCAGTATTCCGCGGGAGAAAGATGAGGTGTTCTGCTACCATAAAGATTTACAGCCTCAGAAACCCTGTACAGGGTCGCTATGAGTCGGAACCGACTCCGTGGCACATGACAACAACAATATCCATCACCAAAACATTTGTGATTACATACACCTTCATAACACTTATTCTACTTTGGAAGTAACATAAAAACCTTGGGCA